GAAACATCTGCAACAATGACAGACAATATTTGAAGTGTTGTTCTTGTATTCCTGCAGATGTGTGTTCCTTTCTAAGTGACTTCACTGCTGAAACCTAACCATGACCTTTTCATTCTTACTGTATTCTCACCAACTGATTCATTTTCTTTGACAATAATTTAAATACTAAAAAGCCATTTTCTATTTGAGAACATTGAATATCAGCTGGAAAAGTAGTCCTATCATTACAAATATCCTCTGGATATTGAAATTAATTTCAATCATTTATTTAGTGGGTCAGCATTTATCTTCTAAAATATAATTGTAAAATCTTTGTGCTATTTGGAGTACTTCTGTTTTGAGCACAATACCAACCAAAAAGCAGCTCTACTGCAAGAGTGAGCAAGAGAATGAGGCATGCATAGAGCATTTAGTTAAAAAAAAAATAAAAAAATCCAGTTCTCTTGTGCCTGGGGGCAGGGGGAAGGGAAGAAATACTAGCATATTTTTTAAAAAGTAATTTGTTCCACCAGCAGTACTGGCCACCCTGTTGAAGAGTTTTAGAAGATCCCTGAGCACATTAGTTTCTGACTTATAAACCCCAGCTCCAAAATGATAGGGCTTCTCTTGTTGATAACGAGATGGATTGTCATTCACAGTTAAGTCAATCATAAGGTGCTTATCTATTTACCCTTTTTTTCACCAATCAGCACAAAGAACTGTCAGAAAATAACTTTTATTTTTCTTTTTTAAATAATAGAAGGGCACAAAATTTAAACAATATTTTGTGACAGTGGTTTAGGATTATTATCTGGCTGCCCCTCAACAACAGACAAGTGATTCAATCGACATTCCTTAGCAAAAAAAAAAAAAAACAACGAAAAAAGGAAAGGAAAGAAAAGAAAAAAGGCAAAAAAAAAAGAAAAAAAGAAAAATCCTGTACAAATATGTATTTTTCCCTGAGGGATCAAGGTTACACCCGCAAGTGCTCTATGTACATATTGCACTGTAGAGGAATGAAGAACATGTGCAAAAAAAGCAACAATGATTGAAGCTTACTAATCAAACCTTTTAATCATGACTATGTCATCTTGCATTTTGGAATGTCGGAACACAGCTATTCCTTTAATCTAAAATGTAAAAATAAAAAAACAAGAAAGAAAAAGAAAAACGCACCTCTACTATGGCACATTCAATGAAATAAAAAGTTTTCCAAAGACAAATAGACAAATTCCATCAAGAAAATAATACAAAGTTCGTTCGTTTGTGGTTTTTTTTTTTTGTTTTTTAGAAAAATTACATTACTTTCTTTCATTGTTTCACATTACAAAATTTTCTTTTTAATGTTTACACAAATCACATTTTATTGCAGGAATATTTCAAGTGCCATCAAACATTTATAGAAGGGTTAAAAAAATAGAAGTCTCTCTAAAGTGGTCCAGACAAGGCTTTGTATAGAATAAATCTTTTTACCACCTTCTATTTTTGACTTAAGTATTTTGAATACATTTTCTTTATTCCATTGACACTTAACAGCCTAGAAGCAGCCGCTCACACATCCCACACACACACTCGTGTGCACACAATGGACTCTCTCTCACACACACACAGGTGCACATAGACAGATATCTTGGTATTCATACTAAGATAAGCTAATAAAGAACAACCAAACTTAAAAACAGCCTCCATTTTTACCTAATTCCATATGTCAAACAATGCTGGAGGTGATGACATATATTAGGGTGGTTCAGATGACAGTATAGCCTGGAAAGCCAGAAACACCTCCAGGAATAGATAAAACTCCCAAGGAAAATATCTTTGCAAACTCTAAGGACTGGGTCATCAAAACTTAAAATATTATGTTCAGCTATCCTAGTGTTTTTATTTGTAGTGAACTGGGAAGATGATGAAAATACTCATGTGAATATCCACTGACCTCCAATGTTTTTTAACTGGTTGATTGTCTGATACCAGGCCACAGTCCCAAGGGTTTTGCAGAGGGCATTTCCTCTGCTGTGCTGGGTTCTTACACGGCCATCTCTGACCAGCTACTCTGGTGTTATTCTGAGTCCCCTTGCATAAAAACCTCCTTGGCAACAGATGTCTTATCTGTACATCTGCTATCCTGTATCCCTTTTTTCCCCTCTCCAAGAAAAGCAACCCAAAAATGACACTCCATTGCCAGGTGGCTTTTAACTGTGACCAGGAAAGCAGAGTTACTTGGGGTGTGTTATGTTCAGCCTGATTTAACAAGGTCCCAGTACACATGAGCTCTCACAAACAAAAATGACTTTGAAAGTACAAAAAGTACTTTCTGACCTGGAAGATCACTCTCAGCTAAGGCCCTATTTGAAACCTTTTAAATGTTATATATTTTACTAGTAAATGCTCCAAGATTTATATTGTCAATCATTTATGGATGTTAAATATGCTAAACAGATTCCAAACAAAACCACTGGCACCTAGATGCCTGGTAAAGCCCTAATAGTCATCATGAAAAGGTAAGAAGAGGATGTGACTGAAAACTAATCCTCAAATATTTTGCCTGGTAGTCTACATTGTCAGAAGTAGGAGGTGTATCATTCTCTAAAACAGTAGAGGTCTGTACTTCACTATTCATTAGTTGACACTGAGATTAAGTTTAGTTGATCTTTACAGGACTAGCACCAAAGGCTGGTCACATTCAGAAAACATATTTTAGTTACAAGGGGTAATTAAAAAATAGGAACACACATTAGAATGCCAGTTACTCCAATAAAGTAAACAATGATCCTAGGAAAAGTGATTCAGTGGGAGTGGAGAGAGCATGTGCTGGGCTGTGAGCCGCCTCTTCAGGAGCAGGCAGGATGGAGCAGGAAAAAGACAGCTCTGTGGACTTTTTCCAAAAGCCCTCTCCTGCCTCCATGGCAGTGCTCACAGCGCTGCAGGTGTTCCCCTCCCACACACCAGGGCACGCTGCTCTGAGGAGGAAGTGTGATGATCTCCTCTCGCCCTCCTTTCAAAGCCTACAGATGAGTGATAGCTGTAACCTTCCCTGATGTGCTAGACTGGAACATTTTTAATAAGTGTCATACATAAATGTCTCAATTTGACCCCAAAGGAAACATGTTCAAATCATAGAATAAACCTATATTTTGCTAATAAGAACCTGCTGATCTGATTCTCCTTTTTAAAATACTTGGGCTTTGGTGTGCTTCTATTCACTTGTTACTTCTCAACAACTATAATATATACGAGATTGTTTACCCTTGGAAGTTAAAGCAGTAGGGCACATTCTGTCTCATTTCTTTAAATTTTTGATGTTCCCAGCTTTTTCTTAGGTACTTCATCAAAACTGCATTTTGATGGCCTACAAGGCATCCAGTTATGCATCTTCATCTCATCCAAACCCAATTATACACCTCTGGCTCAAACAGCCACAGTTTAATTTGTGATGTCATTTATGCGAATCTGCTTGCTTCACATTTACTGCCAGCTTTGCTCAGACAGAATTCTTCCTGAAGGGAATGGTAATTAGTAATACTGCAAGATTCAGCTTATTGGTTGGTTATGCAATACAGGAATCAGAATTACAGAATGCAGGTTTCTGATATTAATGATTTCCAGGCTTGTACTGAGTACAAGCTAATGCTTTCGAACAACAGTGTGCCCTACACCTTTCTTTGTCCCCATCTGATCAACTTTAAAGTGCGTCTTTTTTAAACAAGGAGAGAACACACTTCTCTGTTCAGCTCCCTGAAACTGAACTGCTGGATGCTGGAAGAACAGGGGTCAGCGTATCTGATCTCACTGAAGTCAAAGACAAACCTATGGATTTTGATAGGCTACAGCTTGGCATTTGAAGGCATTGTTTACGATATGGAGTACAAAAGTATGTAATATTACGTATAAAAATTACTTTTCCGCAAGCATGTCACACACATACTTTTACTGTAGATACAGACTTGAATAAATACTTTCAAACCTGGATTTATGGTGGGCAGAAATACACTGTTTAATAGCCTGATTTTCAAAGATGCTGTGTTACTCATTTGTAAATAATCTGTAATTAATTAGTTCAACTCTGACAGTGGAAACTCAGAACCTTTGAAAATGAGGCTTTTGACTTTGAAATATCCAGGTTTGAAAGATTTGAAAATAAGAGTATCTTTGAAGTTAACTTCTGAAAAGATTATTTTTATGTAGAAAATTGTCATTATATTCAACTCTTTTAAAAAATCTGTAGCTGTTTCAGGATATGACCAGCCTCTCTTTAAAAGTAACATGGAAAACAGCAGCATAAATACCTCCCAATGTACCAGTACCTGCCAAACCTTTTTCAGTTAAACTTGAATTTCTGGTGCACATGCAACACAACAATGAACACGCTAGCATTTAATTTAAAGAAAAAGGTGCAAAATGAAAGTGCCTTATCAATTCAACAAGAAAAGCTATACCAGTAACTACATTTTATATTAATTAAAACAATATATAAACAATATCTCTTTTGCTATATATAGTCTTCATGCCCATTTACCCTGTAATATATTATAATGCTATTGTTGCTATTGCTATGGACCCTTTTCATGCCGTTCTGTCTACTGGCAAACAGTGGTAGGTGAAAAAAAATCGTCCTTCATGAAACAATGAGCAAGTTGTGCAAACTGATGCTGAAATCTCTGCAACGCACACCAGTCGCTGATTACTAGGTGGACTCTGTTCTGACCAACAAATTGATTGTTCTGTCAAAAGTCTGGGCAGTGAACTACAGAAGAAAACAACCTTCTGACATTAGTACCCTCAGTCTGTGTAAACAGAAGTCAAGGATTGAGAAGTTGAGACAGAAAAAGGGTCCATATTTGTAGGCATAATGGAAATCATATGCATGAGAAAAACAAGTTCAACTTTGTTTCATTGTTTCCCATCCTTCGCCTGACCCCGACCGCCAAGAGATGTGCAGTGTGTTGGCTCCCTAGGTCTGTGCAGGGCCATATAAAGTGTCTTGGTTTTCTTTCTTTTTTTTTTTTCCTTTTTTCCTTTCTTTTGTTTTATTGTTTGTACTTCAGACATTCTAGAAGTGCTTAGGTGATACGTTTACCCATCAATTTGCATTGCTGGCTCAAACTCTGAAGTGAACAACTCCTTGTAAAGTGGAGGAAAATGAAGTCGCACAATGTCTGGGTATATTGCTTTAAATGCCATAAGCTTTTCTGTATGTCGTCCACACAGTGCTCTTAAAGTAGACACTTTGCATATTAACTGTAAAAAAATGAACACAAGTCATATGGTCATACATGGAACCAGGCCTCCCAATCTTGCTGTAAGGATTAAAGCTCTCTCAAACCAAATTATTTACTTAACAAGGACATTTCAGATGCACCCTCATGGCTATTTGCTAAAAGTATTTAAGTAATGGACTCACAGCTATTTGCGAAATAATCTTTTTAAGTTCTTAGGAAAACGTGGCATTAGGTTTCCTCACTGGATTGATAAACAAGTATTTCAGGGCTGGATCTTCACTCATTAAATTATCCTCTTGGAAGAAGGCAATCCCAACTGCTTTTAAACCCACTGTGAATATTAGGGAGGGAACTGGCACTGAAATAGATTAGACTTATTTACCTTAAGCCAAATAAGGTAAAAAATATGTACTTCAAAAAGACCATGAGGGTACTCCCTGAAGTTCCTGAGTAAAGTAATTGGATCAAAGCGTATGGAAGACTCTTCTGACAAAGGTGTCCAAAGTATACACTGAGAGAAAATTACATGAGCTAGGATTTGAAATTAAAACAATCTGCTTCTACGGTAACTGGCTCTGTAGTGTAAAACAAAACATAAGCTTTCTGGCTGTGCAGAGGTGTAAAAGGAACTACCTCTGCAAGGTAGAAGTAAAGCACCTATCTTTCCCCAGTTCTTCAGATTTACTTCTTGTAACATCACACCAATTTCCCATTTCTGAGAAATTACATGAAGATACTTTAGTATAACATTTGGTAGTGCCTCTTTTTCCTAGGTATCAGTATTTGGAAGAACTGAGAAAAAGGCTGTGTGGGGAATTTCTCACAGAAGTCTGAAAAACAAGTTTAGTTTGTGTGTTGCATGTTATAACAACTTAATTCTCATGCAGGCAGAGATTCCACAAATACTAAGGCATGCATGTTGTAGCACTGAAATAGTATTCTGTGTGGCAGGAGTGTCATGTAGGAGAACTACAATAAAATCCTTCATCAGTTTTCATGAAGTTCCACATAAAAATACTCCCTTTCAGACCATTATCAACCTTGTTCTCTAGTCCATGATCATTTCACCTCTTCTAGGTTTAGTTAATAGGTTGAGCTGAGCAGCTTGATTATGAACAAAGAATTCTGGATTTATAAATAACTGCATATGAGCTTTTACCCCATAATCAGAGCAGTGTTTAGATGAAGCCACTCTTTCACAGTCCAGTGACATGGCACAAGGATGACTCTTACCTTTGTTAGAATTCCATCTTCTCGGTGGTTCTTCTGTAGGACATGCTGAAGTGCTAGCTGGATCTTCTGTTGGAGTTTTTCAATTTTTACTTTCTCCTGAAGCCATGAGCGATCTGAATATAAATGGAGTTAAAACCTCTAGTAATGCATACATGGATCACCAGGAAGTACTAAGTCTGTTACAGATTCATTTTTCCTGTTTGCAACTTTCCTTCCACTTGTTATATACTTTCACATAGAAAACGAGATTTTTAAAATTAATAGGTTTTGAAATACATTTTTTACGTGCACCTGAAGTTACTTTTATAAAGCCCTTATTTAGGAGAATGTAATCTGAGTAAGATCTATAATGCAGAGTGTTTACAGAATGAGGCTAGCAACTTTTTACTGGGAAATGAATAAATCATATAATGAACAAATAGTTGGAAAAGATCTCCTTGCTAAGATCTTACAGAAAACCAACAGAATCTTACAGATCTTACAGAACTTGCAGTGACTTAGAGAAACATCAGATGCAAAGATTCAGCTATTAAAAAAAAGCAGCTAAACTTCCTGGCAGAAAAGCAGTATTAGCTGCCACATTCCTGGTGTGACAGAACTGTAGGGTTCTGTGGCTTGCTAAGAGACAGGGCTACCACACTTCCTGTCGGGCCAACAGTATGAGAACATATTTATGATAGACTCAATAAACCCACCCACCATTGCTAATAGAAGTTTTCATCCTCACTTCTGAGTCCACTATGCTGCAGTCTGAACTCAGAGTTTCCTTCCTCAGGTGTCCAGGCCAAACTGACTTTCTGCCCCCAGCACCTTGTTCCACCTGACCTAAGAAGCCTTTCCAGGACCTGGAGCACACTGTGCACCTTCACCTGTGATTGTTAACTTATTTAGCCACAGGCATGGCAAACCCAGGCTGACTTTTGGGGTGACTTGGATGTCTGGCACCCTAATTCTCAGTGTCCTCAGTCACATTAAAATGGCAATGCTGGAAGTTTTCTATTGTGCTGCAGCTGCAAACTCACACACATGGAAAGCTGACTATGGAAGTTCACTAACTGCCTGTCTCACCAGGATTGGCTCATGGGACTCACTCAAATGCATTTAAACCTTTACAAAGAAGCTGAGTCCTCAACAAGGTGAAAATGTGGAAAATAAGGGCTTAGATTAGGATTTCCAATTTTAAAAATTGGTTGCTTAATTCATAGTTTTAATGCGTTTATTAAAATAAAAAATTTGGTGAGTAGACTCAAAAAGATGTTATTTCCACTATGTCTGATAATTGTAACCTTAACATTAAAAAGGCCTCAAAATAAAAACCACCCCTACCAAATAAATCTAGAGGAAACCTTCATCTCTTACCTGCTGACATTAAAACAAACGCAGAAAACAAAGCTATCTCATCTTCTGTCAGGTGCATAGAACATAAACTTTTTCCAAATTCAAACACAAAGCTAATGAAGTCTTCACAACCTGCCAAAAGAATGTAAGCTCTTGTTACATTGTTTAAAATTACTTCAGCACTACAAAGTTGTTGATTTATTCTGATGGAGATGAGAAATAGATGTAAAACACTTCATAGGTAGTCTTCTTAAGTACTGCAAAGTGATGGCAGTGAGATCTCACTCATCCTTGAGGGTATTACTCCACTCCCACAAGTTCCCAGCTCCCACATCCTGGCAGCCAAGATTCTGAAGGTTTTGCACACTGTATCTTTTCTACATTGGGTTCTCACGGAGTAAATATGGATAAATCTATAGCCATTTATTTTCAAGGTCAAAATTGCTTTATCTTTGTTTCTGTTCTACATGGAACTTTGTCATGTAAGTGTGGACTGAAGGCTTGAAATGTGGACTTAAGAAGTTCTGATTTTAAGATTACTAAGCACACAGAGTGGTAGAAGAGAGAGGCACACAAGGGACATGCAGGAAGCAAAGGGAGAAGCCAAGGTCTGACTGAACATGGTTCATGCAGAAGAGGAACTCTCTTTTTCCATCCATTCTCTTGCTCACACAGATGTTATTCAGGTTACTGCTGCTGTCACACATGCAGGTACTGTCTTTAAAATGAGCCCTGCTCTGAAGAGCATCACAATCTGAGAGACAAGGGTTTTCCTCAGCCTCCCCAGCCTGAACTTGTGGATACGGCCAATAACAGATCCAAGGTACATTTCCTTAGAACCCAGAACTGTTTGCACTCTGACCTTGTACCTTGAGGTGTTTTAGAAAGGCTGGGAAAACTTCAGTAATTGTCCAGCATTCTCCACTGATACTTTTCACTGCCTCCAAAGTGTCTTACAGCCCAAATCTATACCCAGTGAATAAATCCTTTTAAAATTAGCAAAAATACTAATGGGAAAAAAAATCAAAATTGTATGTTTAATTTTAAAAAAATTATTTACTGCATTTTACCAGCAAATAACTGGACTTAAAGATTTTAAAACACCATTAACATCTTCAAAGCTCTAACGTCAATATATCCCAAATTAGCTTAAAATCTGCTGCCTTTTGCAAGAGGATATATGAAATGTTATATCAGATATGAAATCTGGGCTTCTCTTCTCAACAAGTGAGTCCAAACCTGCTCTACCCTAATCAAAATGCTGAACTTCAGCACCAATAGTCCTTTACTGCACAGAGTTAAGCTGTTTTACCTCCTGAAATCAGCTTGGCCTTAAACAGAGCCAGCATGACAGCTGACAAAACAGCAGTTTGAGCTCCAAAACTCTTTTATTTGAATACTATAGACTGATTTTTCAAAGCAGCTGTTTTCCCTTGCTTTTCCACCTTATTATTTTGTTGTTGGCTTTTTTTTGTTTATTTGGGTTTTTTGAATTTTTAAAGACACAACACATTTCCTTACCTAAGGACTTGAAAACCTCTGGGCTAGCATACTTGCCATCAAAGTAGACTGTGTTGTTCTGGGAGTCAAAGGCACGGCACATTCTGATGAACACAACCTCTAAAGACCCTAAAACAGAAACAATGTATGTTTGACTATGAAAGGAAAGACTTCAGTTGCATAGAGCAAGTGAGGATTTAATAATAATGCTCTGCATTAATTTTCAGTTTAGTACAGTAGTAAGTTGCTGTGGTATAACAGAGCATAGTTTGCTTCGCTGGTAGAATTAAAAGAACTATAAACCCTGTTAGAAGTTTCTGCTAAAGCAACTTAGTTAATGCTAATAAACTCTACTAATCTTCTAGAGCAATGAAGTCTCCGAAGCCAAAGAAGCTCATTTATATTTACGTTCACCAAGCCTTAACAACTTGGTCCAATATTTGTAACCTGAATTACTTCTACAGTATCTTCCATAGAACAATCTGGATATTTTCCTTGAAATATTCACTTTTAGCAATCAAAAAAAAAATTCAATTTTTATATTTTAACACACTCATTGCTCCCTTTGTCCATAATGAAAATTTAATAGATAGACTTGAATTCCTTCTCCCCACAATAAATAAGATGATTTTACTTCAAAGACAGACAATTTACAAGGTTTCCCTTATTTAATTTTAAATGATCATTGTACTGCATTTGAATATATGTGTATGCAGCCACTGTATGTAACACCTTCCTCAGGCAAAACTAAAAGAAGCATATCTTAAAACTGACCCACATACCTGCTTTTAAAAGCACAATTTGATCATTTTGACACAGTTCCATAAAGCCATCAATGCGTTTGGCAAATTCCACTACATACTGTATAGCTTCTGTTATTTTGACTGCGCATAACTGCCACATTACCTCCCTTTGCTGTTTGAGAGAGAAGAGAAATTCAAAAATTACTAACCAAGCTTTGGAAAACTCATTGTCAGAAAGTAAAACTGAGCTAAAGAAAACCAAACAACAAAATGGAGTGAGTTCTCTCCAACACTCCTGGCTACAGTCTGCTTATAAGATAAGGGGAATTGGCATCAAAACCAGCCTCATGTGGATGAGTGAGAATGGAAGACTTCTTCAGTCATGTCAGAAGAGATCCAGCTTGGAGTATTTTTATTTCATAAACCAAAAACATCAAAGTGTAATGATTTTGGTCATTTCAGGGGGAATTTTATTCATAGCATGAAAACAAAATGCCAATTTACACCAGAAAGGCATGATCATATTTTTCCTATCAGCTTCTCTATTTTGTACTGAGTGCAAATTATCAACCTAGCTCATCTTCAGAAGGATACATATAAAGATGTTCATTTATGAAGATCATCTTGATAACAACACAAAGAAAGCATGCAAGTATTGAGTTTTTCGTGTTGATAATAATGAAATGAATGAAATCACCTAAAGCAGAAAAAATTATATCCCTAAAGTTAAATATATTTCTGTGGAAATGAAAAATATGTTCAAAGAACAGCGTGCTTCAGTAGTGCTTCCCAAGGCCATTTTCCAAAAGTAGCCAACTGGTAGTAGCTTGCAGATGGAAGGCATGTTGGAAATAACCCTGATTAGATCTTACAATACCCTGGTGGCATGGCAGCACTATGCTGTTATTCCACAGGTAAAACCCAAACACTGAGGGACAAATGGAGCATGAATCAGGATTACAGTGAACTCTGAAGGACAGAAATCTGATGGAGCTCTGTGTTTATAAACTCAAACCAAAACACAGCATGTAATATCATAAACTCGGCTGGCTTCGGCTTTTGTTGATCCAGGACATTACAAATTAAGAGAAGAAAATAACATGCCAATTAGGATTGAAAAAATTCCTATTATTTCCTATCCTTCTATCAGAGTCAGATTTTAGGAGAATGTCTTTGCCTTTTCCTATACCTGTAAAAGTCACAAATGCAAAGTATATCCTGACCATCTTGCTGCTTTTGATTCTATTCTAGTGTATTATTTTTTTAAAACACACAGAAATATACATTCCTGATAGTAAGGAGAAAGCAGTGAAAAAGTGAATTTTGCACCGTGTTATGGAAATAACCATGCTTTAAAGAAACCATGCCGTAGCCTGGCATGCTTTTATACCTTGTTCTGATAGTTCTCAATTTCTTCCTGCAGAAAAGTTTGCCATGTTATCTGCTGTAACTCCTCTCTCAAGTACTGGCAAGTTTCCATGTGTGACTTGGAAATATTCTGTGCAAGATGTTCTAAAAGAAAGAGCAGAAAGCGACACGCATTAGAAATGCAAAGCTATACCTTCAGACGCGAAAAAAACTCTTATATTTCAGTTTCAACAGGGGGAGGGCAGAGGGAAAGCTGCTTTAGATGAGTCCCCTTGGAAGCGGCTCGGGGAAGTGCCGCCATTTCGCCCGGGCGGAGGTGCCGCAGCCGCCGGCAGAGGGCGCGCGGCGCACGCGCGGCAGGGCCCACAGGCGGGCTGGCACACACCGCGCAGAAAGCGCCGCGAGCGGCCGGACACGGACCCCGCGAGCAAGGGCACAATACTGTCCCTGGAACGGGAACTCGGGACACCGGCAGGGACCAGACACAACGGCACTGCCGCCAGGACCAACGCTTTGACATGGGGAAATACAGTCACCACCTAGCTACCGTTCTCTCAAGCAGGACGCTCGTCCCATGAGGCTGCCTGGCAGGGACAAGTGTCTTTTTTTTCCCCCCTACTTTCATACCATTTAACAAAAAAAAAAAAAAAAAAAAAAAAAAAAAAAAAAAAAAAAAAAAAAAAAAAAAAAAAAAAAATCAGGAAAATGCATCTATTGGAGAATTCAGATGATTAAAATAACACACTAAAAAAATCACTAACACCAGGGTTTTTTTTTCCTTCAGCTTTAGAGTAGTCATCTAGTTTACTGCATATGATTTAAGATTTCCATACAATTATTTAATTCCTAATGAAATTATTTTCTACTGCTATACTTGATTAAAAGACGCATAAAGCAGATTTAGATTTAGTAATAAGACCTGGTTCTGTAAGAATTTAGGAACATTTCCAAAGCCTGAATAGAATTTAGATACCCGAGCCGAGTTCCACTTTTATTTAACTTCCTCTTTCCTACCCTGACCCTTCAGGTGGGCATGTTCTCCTGTTTTAGCATATGACAAGTAGAGGCCTGGGGACTTGTCTCACACAGTTCTGCTTGTTAGGCCACTGAAAATGAAGGCTCAAACCAAACAGGAATGGTGGTCACTTGGAGGTATATGGAGGTATTCTGAGGGACTGCAGTACAGGGTATTCTGTGAAACTGGCTTTGTTTGGTAATGATCAAACTCAACTCTTCACAAACTGAACCGCTGGACCAATCAGTCTGTCAGTAGTTTGATTAAGATATTACCTGAAAAGTCTTCAACATACAATTGAGATAAAATCAGATTATATGTGCTACCTGACCAATCAGTAAAGTAGAACACAACATAATTTATATTTTGTCACCATAGCTTTGGTGTAGTTCAGAAGAATTTTTTTTTTTCCAACAAGTATGTAGTTAAAATGCTTGCTCTCTCGGTAGCAGCAGCTGCCAGCAGGATCCCTGTGCCCTTGCAGGATACAGGAGGTGAAATAGTCCCATGTTATTCGCAAACCTCCGCCTCACTTCAGGACTGTTTTTCAGCACACACCTAAATATTTTCATTGAACAGCCACACCTTTCTAAATTGAAACCTTCGTCTGGCAAACATTCTTCAAACATTGTTCAGTAATGTTAATGCTGGGCACCCATATCATGCTGTGCAGGCTTTAAACGAAGCACTATGTAAATAAAGGTAAGCAACAAGACAAACTTAGTTTAGGCCAGTGTTCCAAACACAACCCCGGGCCTACAAAATGAAAACCCCCCTTTTTTTCCTGTGGGTTTAATGTAGGTATTTTTAATACCTTCCACAAGAAAATTAGCAATCATTTCACTGAGACAAAGCTGTTAGCATTGCCTTTGTCCTGACATTTTCTTCTCCTTTTTACCTATCTGAAATTTGAACCGATGCCAGACACAATATTTTGGCTGTCAGGACAAATTATATTGTAGAGAACAGCATTCTGCAACATAAGGACATTAAAAAGCAAGCTTCTTGTGACTTCCTCTATGCAAAACTTCTCAAAAGAACATAAACCACACAGAATTTTCATGTGGAATATCTGATTTTTTAAAACTATTATTAGGTTTTCATAATAAAATAATTAGACAAATGTTGCTTAGGCAAGTTTTAGGAATCAGTTTTAAATGCCTGGCTGCTTACATAAGTAATGGAATCATGAAACCACTTCTTTGATGTCCTGTTCCACTTTGTTTACAACCAGTTCACACAGCACATTCTAACTTCAGTCTCTGCTGTTGACAAGTCATACTTGTGGAATTCAGTCCTAGTGTAATCATTAAGGGAAGAGTTTAAAGTAAAACATGCTAATTAATGTGGTTGTTATAAGGCTCTTAGAGAAATTATCAAAACTTGCTACATTCCAAAATGTCCTTCAGTATCTGGAGCCAGATCCCCTTCAATAAGTGACAAGAACTGCCCTCAGATTAGCCCGGTGCTTTTCTCAGGTAAAGAGTAGAAGAAAATCAGCCTCATTGCTTTTTGTTAGGAGTAACAGACTTGAGGTAATGAAAAATGAGATAAATTGTTAAAAGCTCTTCAAATAAAGAAATGCCCTGTTTTCTCAGCACTAAAAATTAGTTTCTTAATCAGTATTCCAAGGGTTCTATTGCAAGGACTGAAAGCAAAAGCAATATTGGTAGAGCTGATCAACCACAGTTCCCTAGAGCAGTAAGGAGTTCCCTGAGTGTCCTGAGATCAGGGTATTTACTGTGCACTTCACACAAGAATGCCCATACATTCCCACAGCTCTACTGAAGCAGCATTCTCACTATCATCTGGCTACATGGGTCACTTTAATCCAAAGGGTACTGTTAAGACAATTACAATGGAAGCTTTTCTCTCTCATTACCTAATTCTGCCATGGACACAGTTGGAGAGGTCTCCCCATTTGTAAAAGAACAATAAGGGAAGAAGCCCGATGCTGGTGTGTAGTCACATATTGGTTCTGGTTTGATTCCATTAATATCAAGACCCGACTGATCTGGAGAAGGCTGTATGTCTAAGTAGAAGCTGCTAACTGCAGAGTCTGCTTTGCTACCTTCAGGGGTATGCCCATCAATGTAATTACTGAGGTCGTCATGTAGCTCTGTTAACCCATTGGTGGTGATATTGTATGTTGGTGTGAGTGGTTCTGCCTCTCCTGGCTGCTGCTGGTGATCCCGCTGCTGCTGCTGCATTCGATGTTTCTGCACCTCGGCGTACAGGCTGTCCCTCTGCTTTTTTGACATTCGACCAAACTTTACAGCTGAAATACAGACACACAAGAGATTACATCTCTACACATCCACCACTGTCTTTTAACTGTGAGTCTTTAAACACTTCATGGAAGGATATAGCACAAACCCCAAATCCACAAGATGGGCAGACCTAAGAACCACTTCTCAGTTACAGGTACACAGCTGCAGCACCTACTCTTCAAAAGACTATCTTGACATGCCACTGAAATAGACCATTACAAGTCACTGGTTTAGCTTAATTCATTAACTTTCTACTCCTGTACTGGAACGATTTTCTCTTGTATGTCCATTGAGGTTGACAGATGCATCTCTTCAGCATTCAAACCCTACCTAGAAAAGTAGATGCTAAACCAGAACGCATTGGCCTGAGACAACTGTGCAGTTCCAACCAGCTGTACATTCTCACTGTGGAGTGAACCTAGAGAGTGGTGCCAACATGTGGGGTCTATCACAGTTTATCAACAGCAGGTTTTATTGATGTTGCAACTAAAGCATGTGGGAAGAACCACCAAACCTGCCTTCAGTGACTCTGAGACAAGCAAAAACGTTTAGCAGATGAGTAACCTATGTGTTACTCACCTATGTTAAACCTATGTGTTTGTGCACACAAGTGCATGTGTTTATCTCCACAACATTACTATGACTTTGAGGACCATTAGCTGTAAGCCAGCAGCAACTGGTTTGCAGCATCCAGGGAATTCCCAAGGATGCAGCATGGGATTTCATGGGATATATCAGCTGTAAAAGCTTCATCCTTTAGAAAGGTGACTAATGCCTTCTGCTTTTCTACAGGAAAGCAAACGTGTTGAAGGAAATAGTCATTATATCATCAACTGTTTCAGGTCTTCAGTCTCATAGCCAATTAAAAAAAATAAAGACAATGTAATTCAAGAATATAATCTCGAAACAATCTCCTTGATCGGGCCTCATGCACCTAGAGTAATGTGTATTTGTAGAACATACAGAACTGCTGTCACTGTGGCAGGGGAAAAGACTGAGACAGATCTTCAAATGGGTAAGTGGTGGCAGGTCCATTCCATTTGTGGGGGAGGTGTGCAAGTCTCAGCTGCAAAGCCAGTTCTGACTGAATTACATAAGCAGCTGTTTGGCAGAGGCGGGCTTTCATCACTACTCAAGCTGCAATTTTGAGCTTAATATTAACAGCACTTGAACATCTTTTATTCGGAATTCTACCTTTGAAAAAACAGTGCATTTTTTTCTTTGCATTTTTTCAATTGTTCATTATACACATATTTAAATTCTGTCGATACTGTGAAGCAGTTCTGATCTGTACCTGCGCACCAGGCAGTGCTACTTGCAACTATAGGAGGTCACTTACGTTGGAATGAATATACAGAGGAAGTATTAACATAAGACTAATAAACTGCATCTTCAGTAAATGACAAAGCTCTTAACTGAGAACTATAATAGGTAAGCAGGAAAAAAGATAAATCCAAGAACTTTGTACATGCCCTGATTTATATATATATATATTTGAGTATATAGCAGCATCTAAAACCATAGACCATGTTACATAGAAAAACAGAAAAAATAGAAAGCATCATCACTTAATGATCTCAACTATCAGCCCAATGCACAATTAGGATATAAATGCTATGTTTTTTGGTTGACTATACATCATACTACACCTTCTGCATTCCCAATGTTATTTTTTTGCGGCGAGGCCCCGCGTCAGCAGTGCTTACCATCCCGAGACATCCCCACAGCAAGGCATTTCTGTAAGCGACAGTGCTGGCAGCGGTTCCGACTGGTCCGGTCGATCAGACAGTTCTTCTGCCGAGGACACGAGTACGTGGCATTGCTCTGCTGACTCCTTCTGAAAAAGCCCTGGGATGCAAGAGCAAAATACAAGTCAAGAAGCTGTTAACTGATGGAGCACATAAAGACTCTGAAAGGTAGCGTACTTAACAGAAAAGAAGTTCAAGTGCTCTGTAGTCAACTAGAGGAAGTTAAAATTAAAGGTTTAGGGGTTTTTTTTTTCCTCTCCTACACATAAACAAAAAAATAGTAAATAGCAAGAAACAGTTAATTTAAAAAGTTGTAATGCATAAAGGAATTACACTTCTTATTCACTGATCTTACATATCCTATATTACATATGGTATTCCATCTCTTCCCAAATGAGATAAAACTAATTATAGACCTTGATTTCCTATCTTTCCTGGGTTGGCATAGTTCTTCAAAATAGGGAGGATTCAACAGCTACGACCCTGTTCTGCTCTCCAGAGTGATAGGGGCAGGTTCTGACGTTCATACATACACTCACCAGCGTGTGTATGTCTTGAAAAACACACAGCACAATGCTGAACAGTTTCTCCTACAAAAAACAATTTCCTAACACGTTTTTTATAGGCTCACAGAATCATTAAGATTCAAAAAGACCCCTAAGATCATCGAGTCCAGACATTATCCCAGCACCACTGTGTTCACTGCTAAACTCCAAGTGTCACATCCACATGTCTTTTTCAACACATCCGGGGTCATGATTCCACGATTTCCATGGACAGCCTATTTCAATGCCTCCCCACCCTTTCAGTGAAGAATTTTTTCCTAATAGCCAGTTGAAACTTGCCCTGCCACAGCATGAGGCCATTCCATTTTGTTTTGTTGCTGGCTCCATGGGAGAAGAGCCTGACTGCCACCTGGCTCCATCTTCCTGTCAGGGAGTTGAAGAAAGCAAGAAGATCACACCTGAGCCTCCTCTTCTCCAGATTAAACCCTCTCAGCTCCTTCAGCTGTTCCTTATCAGACTTAAAACCAGTAACAGACTTGTGCTCCAGACTCTTTCCTGCTCTGCTGCCCCTCTCTAGACAAACTCCAGCCTCTCAATGACTTGCTTGTCATGGGGGGCCCAAAACCAGACACAGTACTTGAGATGCATCACTAGTGCAGGACAGAGGGATGGTCACTGCACTGGTGCTGCTGTCACCTATTGCTGCTATTGAGTTAAGTTTGATGCTAACAGCCCAGGTTTTGTTCAACTCTGTGCAGGATCTAGATTCTTAAGGAGGGGGAAAGCTAAAACATGCTTAATGTGTGATCTCTTTCCTGAGTAACCTGATCTCCAAAGAAAGTTGGGGCTGGAAGGTTACGCACAGCTACAACTCTATTGTCTCATCGAGAAGGGTGCATGTCATTAACCACTTGGCAGCTGTTTGCTTTGAAGTCCATTTCATCCTTTTGCCACAGACTACCCAAACATAAGCTGTTGTGTGTGTAATACCTACTTCACAAGCATTCTGCAAACATGTAGTCATTCCAAACAGGCATTTGAGAGCAGTGAGCACACTATTTTAGTTTTACGTTGCCACATAATGGATTAATTAACAGTGCTGCCAAGAAAATAGTTCCTTGGAAAGGCCAGGCACCTTTTAATTAAAGCTGGACATTTACCAATTTGTTATTTACTCAAAGGTTTCAGGCTGGAGTTCCTGAGCAGACACACAGATACCTGGTGAAGCAAACAAAGGAAGGACTTCTGCATGCCAAGTCTCAAGTAGTCAAGTATTTCCTATCAAACTCCCTGCAGACAGGAACATGGCAAACACTGAGACAAAGCCCGTGCTCAATCTTAGCAGGAGGGCACCAGTCTTTGTCGATTACACCCCTTTTATTAAAGCTTCACTAGGGAAACTGGAATATATATATATATTTTAAAAAAGCAACTGAAGATGTTGTCATTAATCCTGTTTTCCTGTATATAATTATGACTGAACTTTCAACCAGATTTTTCATATTTGTCAACAGTGAGGTAATTGTCACTGAGACTGAAAGTATTGCACATATTGAGCTCCAGTTGCATGCATTTCACCCTAAAGAAAACCTGAAATACCATGGAAATATCTACCATTCCAACATCACAACTGATCTCTCTAGAGAAACTAACTCTTGGATAAGTAGATAGATTCATTTCCAGTTCTGGGAGCATCATCAGTGGAGCCTGTCACTCCAGTGCAAGTACAAGTGCAATGCCATTCACCAGAAAAACAGGATTAGGGATTCAGCTGACCAGTGACTGGTCAAGGTTCTGCATCAGTCCCTGAAACTTTCGGTTCTCCAAACACCTTCCTAGTTACACTGAATTACATGCCTGAGTGCATGAAACACATGAGCTGCATGAAACCCTCTCCCCCTCTGAGATTCTGGAAGTCAGCCTAAACATGTCCCAGTCCTCAAGGATCCATATGTTTTCCTTTAGCTGAGATTATATATATACATATATATATACACACACACTGATTCTAAATTGCCACTTGGGCATATTTTAAGAATAGCCTTGTCAAGCTGAGGAATATTTTTAGTATTATAATGGAGAAAATACTGGCCTTTTTCCTTTTCCAGATTTTCCCTAGAGATACAGCTGCTCAATACATTTTAGTGTACAATATATCAGCTAAGTTACAGCTTGAAGCTAAATTTCCAGTAGAGCACAAATGCCTGAACCCCTGCCTTTAAAAGCACTTGCACTTTACAAACCAGAGTGCTTTTAAAAACAAACCTAACAAAATATCAGCAGTAGCTAAAGAAAGAAGAAACCTTGTCACAAACTGCAAAAACTGATCTAAACTTGTCCAGAGCTCAGAAACACAGGTATCTTGGATTTGCAAGTGGATTGACAATGAAGGTCAAGTGAGGATGTTTTGTTCTATGGTGCTGTCTTGTGAGTTTTGTAAGCTTCTGGTTGTCCTTGGGCTTTCACATCACTCTAAGACAAGTTGGAAAGCCCCTATTACAGGAGCCTTTTGTATGTACCTACAGTTTCTTTCTAGTTTTTTCCCCTCCTTTATTAAAAGGAGAAATGCTCTATTCTGTTCTTCTATTCCCTTGCTTTTGCCAGAGACACGGAGCTGGCTCTAATTTTTCCACCAGGAAGGAGGAGGTGTATACATTCAAGCCTTATGCAAGCCAGCCCAGGTCACATGCTTTTTATTGCCTGCATGTTTACAGCCATTATTTCATGTGACCTAGTGGGCCAAGGCAGAGCCAGCCCTCCTGATCAAGCAAAGAGACAAACTGGTACTGCACCCAAGGAGCCCCCGCGTCTCTGACCCGTGGCATGCTCTGGCCAAGTCTCAGCCCCTCCCAATGTCAGCACCAAGATCCAGCCCCAGCCACTGAGCTCTGCACATTGCCTTTTCCTGCAGATGGATCCACTTGGTGCCAGAAGAAGAGCAGAGCCACAGCTTGGTCCCCGTGTTTCAGACTCCTATTTATACACAACACAGTCTATGGGTTTTCATTTGCTGCCACAAAATCAGGTTTGGGGAAAAAGAACGCAAGAACTTTTCATCGGCAAGTCAGTTGGAATAACAACTTGTTAAAAAAGGACTTTGAAATGTAAATAGCAGTTTTTGCAAAGTCTATTAATAGTGTCAGTGACTCCTCTGCTCAGCAGCTCAGCATTGGAGATGTTGGTGTCTGAGCTGGCTCCTGAGCCAGCTGTGCTTCCCTTGTGTCCCAAATGGCACCGCACAGGCTCTCTCTCCATCACGCATGGGCTGAAAAGCTGAGCTCATGTTTGGTCTTCTGACAAATTTTCATTTAATGAATTGATTCCTACAGTTCATTAACATACCCACTTCCACTTCTGTATACACATATGTCTTAATTAGCTGCTCATTGGCTGTTTAATTACAAGAAAACAGCTGACAGCTGCCTTGCTGCATCCTAATGGCAGACGTTTTGGAACGACTGTATGCAAGCCTGTGACAACAAAGGCTTATTCATAATCCCATGATTTATGGCTAATACTTAAAGACTTCCACGTATCATTAAGTTTTGCAATATTCTGAGCAATTAACAATTAGTTGGGGGGGAGTCATTCTTTGACTGTTTTCTAAAGCAAACCAACACAAATTTTCTTCAAAGAAACATCAGAAAAATACACTGTAATACAAAAGACAGGCAAACATTCCAATTGGATTTTTAACCCTTTTATGACCACCAGCATGTATTTTAGTTGTAAAGAGAGGAAAGTGTTCTGACAATATTGTTTAATAAACTGTTTTAATAAGGTATTTGGTAACAAAGTCATAGTATCACTGAAACCAGCAAAACCACTCAGTTTTACATCGGTAACAAAGACAGGTGTGAGCTTGTGTCTGTCAACGAATGAAAGCAAAATGGGCAGGGACAGCACACCAGGTATAGTTTCCTGAAGGAAAGAATCCCTTGCAGTTACAATGAACAAGATCATTTGAGGTCTTAAAAGACACAAAAGCCAGTACTGATAAATCCTTGAAAGCATCTGAAATGCCCAGAAATGCCCCGCATGGGTGTTCTTGTAAGAGCAGCTGCACCCAGTCAGGTAAACAAAGGGGTCACTACTGTATTGGTGGGTCAGCTGTGCATGAACTATGGACAGTAAAACCAAGTAACTGCACTTGCAAGTTAAATTATATAGTTCATTGTATGACAATGTGGAACTGAATTCAACTTACAGCTAGAAGAAAAGAACATGGATGTGTACAAACCATTCTCCTTTCCCAGCATGGTCCTTCCTACAGCATAAAAGGTTGTTAATGGGTTCCCACAGGTAATGGTTGAGTGAAATGCTCCATACAGATACCAGCTTTGTCCATAGTGCTCCTACAACTACCTTCTCTTAAAAAAATTATTTTATTTATAATAAGCCATAGATGCTCTCCTGGATAAAGTGTAAAATACAGCCTGGCTAAAACCTCAAATTTTCAGTTAAAGGGGAGATGATGATGGGGTGTTAAATTTTATTTTTTTAAAGGCAGATTCAAACTGAGCTAAATAGGCTGATGGCTTGGGAGTACTCAATGCCTGTGCATAACACTGCCACTAAGTTCATAAAAAAAGCCAGCAACATCATAGCAAGGTAGGAAACGAAAACTTCCCAAGAAACACTAATGGGTTTCATTACAGATTTTCAAGTCTAATTACATGAAATCCAATGTCACAACTCAACATGGTCAAAACACTTTCAATTCTGAAATGCAAGGGTTCAAAGCTGCAGAAGAGCAACCGGATCAGCAAAAGTCAATGTGACAAGAGCTACTGGTCTGTGATTTCATCCATGATACAGATTAGGTTTTGAACAAATGATATTTCTGCTGGTTATCAATATTTACAGAGTAACATTTGAGTTAACATTAGGATTAAGTAACATTAAAGTTCACACCAAGCTGGAGTGAAACCAGTCCAAGCTGAAAACAGCCGACTTTGCAGTGGCTGTTGCTGCCTGTAGATCATTCCTGACAGGCTTGGCTGGAGGGCAGCAGCACAGCTGTTCCCTCCTGACAACCACAGCCCTGCTCCTGCCACCTGGGTGGGTTTGTGGCACCGGTGCAGAACCTCAATGAACTTCTCTGGGACTGTGCAGGACGTTGACTGCAGGAGCCAAGGCACAGGCCTGGCAACAAGGTCTTTGTAGCCAAGTACTTTTTACAAAGGAAGCTTTAGCATAACATGAAGGGCAACATAAGCATGCTCAAACCTGCAGCAGTCATAGCCACAGAAAAGCTGGGAAAAGCAACCCATACCAATCCACACCTGGCTGCTTTGGCAGAAGTCAAGCTATGCCAACCTTTTCCCCAGCCAAAATAGTTCTGTTGGGTGAGACTTTGTTGACATTACTGTGAAGGAGTGTAGCACAAGCAAAATCCATAAGCCACAGCAAGGCATTTTAAATGCTTCCTAGGCCACGATCATGTAAATTCTTCCTGTGACTTATGCCCACTAGCACTACCCCAGTCTGTCACTACTTGCAGGTCATCTGGGCTCTGGCATTAAAGAAGACTGAGCTTCTTCAGGAGTGAGCTTCTCAAAGGAAGATAACTTGGTTAACTAAGTTGATATTAATTGGTGATAAAATTCTCTCTGAAAGTGTATGGCTACAAATTATATGCCTGTGCTCCTTCAAGAGCAGGAAAAAATGCCTAAGTCATTCACTGGGCCACTGTCTTACTTCTCACACTCTGCTTTCAAGGTTCAAATGGATTTCAGTGTGCTGAGCATCCCTGCCTGCTTGCCTTCTCTTTTGCCCTTTTCACCAGCTGACCATTCTGGTGGAATTCTCAGAAG